TTAATCAGACATATAAAAATTATCTGATTAACATACAAGATTTCTGGAAAACCTGAGTCTTATTTCGATTATAAAAGCAATTTTTCCGTTCGATGCAAGTGCATAAAATTCGATAATAAAAGCTGAAAAATATTATAATCAAGAAACTGAGCATGCAAGCATAACTCTGTTTGTGTAAGCAGCAATACAAGACAGCAAACATACTTTTTTCCATAAAGCTTTCCTGTGGGTATACTGTGCTAAACGAAGTCAAAGGCTAAATGATTCTCATCCCCTAGAGTTCCATACAAGTGGAAAACCTGCAGTGGATCACTGCAGTTGGAAAATGGCTATTTTTAAATTTGCCTATCGAAAATCTCTTGACTGTGCATGGAAATCCCATTAAAGTTCATAGATGTTTCACACACAATCAGTGAGAGACGTGAAGCCCCCTAATGAGTCGAGGGAAGAAGGCGGGTGGGGGGAGAGAAGCGGCGTGAACGGCGAGGGAGAAGGCGTGGAGAGGGTTGTGCGTGCAGCATTTTCCCCTGCACTAGGAGAAGCAGGAGATGGACAGCCGGGGGGTGGGGGGGTGGGGGGCGAGGCTCCGCTTTCCACAGCCGTAAGAGCGCGGAAGCTCTCGACTGGGTCTCTGGCTCCTTGTCGGCCCTGGTACAGCGCGCAGTCAGCTCCTGTTGCTCCGGCTGCCTTCCGGCTGCTCCCCTGCCCTGCCCACCACAGGTCCTGTCCAGGGCAGAGCTGGACTAACGTGGCGCCCTTCGCAGCCTTGGGTTTCCGCTGCCCTTTCTCCTGCTGCCGCAAACCTCCGGGAACACGGGCTCTGAGCTCGGCCTCGGTAGGTGCTGACCGCGGCTGCTGCTCCAGAGGCGTTTGCTTGCCCGTCGCTCCGTGCGGGCTGAGGTCCTGCCTGCAAGCCCAGGGCCTGGAGAGACGGGCACAGAGGGAGGCCTGCATGGGGAGGTTGTGGGTTCAGAGGGCACAGGGTGCTGGCCGGGGCCTCCCACCCAGCAGGAGTCTGGGGCTGCCGAGGAGGCGGTGGCGGGGCAGGGGATGTCTGGGCTGGGAGTGTGTGGCCTGGATTTATTTGTCCAATGCCACACCCCACCCCGGAGTCCTAAGTGCTCAGCACCATAAATAAAACTCCCCTAATAAATCTCCCCTGTAAATTTTCTGCGTGGAATTTCATTACTCGTCTCGTTTCCAGTCATTAGGTTTTAGTCCAATTCGGGGCTGTGCCGATGGCTGTGTAAATCACGCCTGCCCTGGGCGAGAGCGGGCCTCCAGGGAGCACTGCCGGCTGCAGCCCCAGCGGCCGGACCGAGGGCCCTGCCCTGGGCGAGAGGGTGACTCTGGGGAGCACTGCCGGCTGCAGCCCCAGCTGGACCGAGGGCCGCTGCCTGGGCCCTGGGCGAGAGCGGGCGAGAGCGGGACTCCAGGGAGCACTGCCGGCTGCCCTGGGCTCCTGCTTGTCCCCTGGCCCTGGAAAAGGGAAAGGAACCCTCGTTAGTTGGGTGCCTGCCATGCTTGGGAGCTTTATGTACGGCATCTTGGGGCCTCCCACAAACTCCACAAAGTAGGAATTAACGCCACCATTTTATTTATTCTAAGAAATTTATTTACTGATTTTCACTTTATTTGAAAGGCAGAGAGAGGTGGCTGGTGCTGTGGTGTGGTAGGTTAAACCTCTGCCTATGGCACTAGCACCCATGTGGGCGCTGGTTCGAGTCCTGGCTGCTCCATTTCCCAACCAGCTCCCTGCTAATGCGCCTGGGAAAGCAGCGGAAGACGGCCCAAGTGCTTCGGCCACCATCCGCTGCCTCCCAGGGTGTGTGAGCAGGAGGCGGGGCCACAAGCAGAGCAGCCAGGACTCGAACCAGGCATTCTGCACAGGTACAGGACGTGCGTGCACCAAGCAGTGTCTGAGCGCTGTGCCAGACGCCTGCCCCGCTATCACGGCTTTAAAGACTGGGCCTGAGGCTCAGAGAGGTGTAGTCACCCACCCAGGGTTCGAGCTCAGCCAGTGTAGCCTGGCACTGAGCCCAGGCGTGTCTGGCTCCCAATCTAATGTATCCATTGCCTCCTAGCATTCTGGCTAGAGGAGCCCATAGAGGACCTGGCACAATGTCACCCCTTCCATGAAGCCACCCGTGGTTACTAGCGAGGGTCCACTCTGTCATCTTTCCCCCCTCCCCTGCACTAACTGTGAGCCCTGCAGGGGGCTTGTGTCACTCCCAGGGCCCTTGGGTGAGTCTTCTGCTGTGTGTCTGTCGTGTGGCTCCCGGGCCTTTTGCTCATAGCTCTCTGCTCACTCGTTGTTACCTAAGTTCTGTCACTGCTGAGTTATTGTCAGGTTTCCCCGCCAAAGCATGAACTCCACGAGGGTAGTGGTGCTTCGGTCACTGGTGGGTTTCCCGAGTCTCCTGGGGTATTTGCCACGTAATAGGTGATGAATACATTTTTAATTGGGTGGGTGAATAATGCGTAATCTTGATGAAGGAAGAAAGTAGCTGCCCCTGAGAGGGAGAGATGTCAATATGCCGGTGGGCAGTTAGGTCTCCCGGGTCCCCAAGGCCCGTTGAGGTTCACGGAGGGCAAGGAGGATTCTGCAGCCTCGTGCCTTGCCCTCAACTCACTGCCACTCTCAGCACTGGCCCTAGTAGCAACCTTTTATATTAAAAATTTTTATTTTCAAAAACTTTGGGCCAGTGCTGGGGTGCAGCAGGTTAAAGCCCCAACCTGCAGTGCCTGCATCCCAAATGGGTGCCAGTTCAAGTCCCAGCTGCTCTACTTCCAGTTCAGCTCCCTACTAATGCACCCGGGAAAGCAGTGGAGGATGGCCCAAGTGCTTGGGCCCCTGCACCTGCATGGGAGACCTGGAAGAAGCTCCTGGCTTTGGATCAGCCCAGCTCCTAAGATAAATCTTTTTAAAAAGATTTTATTTATTTATTTGAGAGGCAGAGTTACAGACAGAGAGGGATAGACAAAGAGAAAGGTCTTCCATCCACTGGTTCACTCCCCAAAAGGCTGCCAACAGCCAGAGCTGGGCTGATCCGAAGCCAGGAGCCAGGAGCTTCTTCCGGGTCTCCCATGTGGGAGCAGGGGCTCAAGTACTTGGGCCATCTTCTACTGCTTTCCCAGGCCATAGCAGAGAGCCGGATCGGAAGAGGAGCAGCAGGGACTTGACCGATGCCCATATGGGATGCCGGTGCTGCAGGTGGAAGCTTAGCCTACTATACCACAGCGATGGCCCCTTTTTAAAAAATTTTAAGACAAAAGGTTTTTATTCAAAAACTCCAAGTACATTTAAAAAGATCTCTTTTATTCCCCTGTACAGTACTTCACTCAGATAAAACCAGCAGGGTACACACTGCTCCAAACACAGCTCCAGAGGGAATCTAAAAGGCACACCATCCAGAAATGATTTCCATACCCTATCCTACAAACCCAAGTCAGCAATGCCTGTTCCTGTGTCAGGGGGGCCAGACTCCCTGGGGCTGCAGCAGCTGTCCAGTGGCAACCTTTAACCCCAGACCCAGGTCAAACTTCAACCTCAGCCTCACCCTCCCAACGCATCTCCAACTCTGATCTCTACCCTCCCCCCCAAACCTGTCCCCTATTCTAACTACAGTCCTGATCTTCCAGCTGTAGCCTCAACCCTTCACCCAGCTCCAACTCTAGTTTCAGCCCCAAATCCAACCCTCAGCCCCCACTGCAAGCTCATCTCCAACCCCACCCTCAGTGTCAACTCTGAACTCAGCCCCTGAGCTGTCTTCCGCCCAAACCCAGCTGTCTGCAGCCTTAACCTCGACCTTGGCTCAGTCCTGGTTTGTGCCCAAAGCCGGCTTCAATTGCAGCTCGTGCGACACAGCCCCACCTCCAACCTCAGCCCCAGTGTCACACCTGAGCCCCACCCTTGTGCCAACTGCGGCCTCTGCCCCACCCTGACTTCAGTCCAAATCCCAGGCCTCACCTAATTCTCATTTCAACCACAATCTGGATTTCAGCTCCCACCTCAGTCCCGACATCGCTTGTCTGTCTGCTGGAAAGCAGTGGTTCCTTTCCTATCAGAGCAGCCATGGTCGCCAGATGTCACCGGCTGTCCCATGGGCCTGTCTGTTCCCCGTCCTGCCGTGCGCTGGGGAGGAGGCAGGAGCCCTGCTGGGTCCTTGTGGGAGTTCAGTGATGATTTTTCAGACCTGCCTGAGAATCGATTCCTGCTGTCACAGCGACAGTGCACGCACCACGTCCACGCCCACAAGTCCGCAGACCCTCCCGGCCTGGGAGAGGGCTGTGTTTCCCCATCCCACAGAGGAAACGGAGCTTATTAAATGCTTTTGCTGCTTTGTAGCAAAGGGGTGTGTGTGTGTGTGTGTGTGTGTGCAGCCCAGCTCCCCGGGTCTTACCCTTTATGCTGCCCCTGCTTTCCCTGACCTGGGAGGAGGCTGAGGGGGCCCTTGATTCTGCAGTGAATAGCAGGGACCCCTCCCCCAGCCCCAGCACCTTTGGGTGGTTGCCACCAAGGGATAGGACAGAAGCCGTCCTCACGCTTCCCTCCTGAGTTGAGAACTTGCAAAGGAGGGGATGGAGACGGCCTGGGGGTGTTTGCTTAGGGTCCTGGCAGGAAACTGAAGAACGGGCTGCTTACGGGGCATGGACTGAGTTCAGGAAGCAACAGGAGGTGGCCGGGCCCAGGGACTAGCGATGGTTGGTTGCCCTCGCTACCCCTGGGGCTGCTAGAACAAGGGGTGGAAATGGTGTGGCCGCAGCCTTGGGACACCTGGCCTCTGGCACTGTGGTCACAGAGAAGCCCGGCCACTGAGGCAACAAGGCCTCGGAGGGAGGTCCGGCTCCCCTCTCCCCCTCCCTGCAGGCTCTGCCGGTGCCTCCACCAGCT